CAAGTATAGAAGTAAAAATGAGAAAATACAAAAATATCTATCTAGAAGAGAAAAACTAAACTAAGATCAATACCAACATTGCACCATGCTAGACTAAAATAAAGAATAAAAATAAAAGAAATTAAACTAAACCAACTGTCCAGCAAGGGGCGTGATTACTTCCTGACTAAAAATTTGACCAATGAGAACCAAGATTAACCGAAGTGGCGAAAGAAAGTGGAGAAACAGGGGGTATGATATGAGATGATGATAGGAAACCAGAGGTAACCCAAAGATGGGGATCAGATTTATAATCATTGTTGATACGTCGAGACAATTTCCATTTTTCAAACAAATCACACCTTTGGGTCCAAATAGTCCAAATAGTGTTAAAAAGGTCATAATATAGTGAGGAGAGTAAAGCTTTGGTGATGCTGACGTCAAATATGATATTATTGAGTAGTGATACCAAGGTACCAGGTACCAAACCTTTTAAAATGTCGATGAAGTCTATGTTATGTGTATTTGGAGTGTGAGACCATATTGATAGTTGACTGACTAATAAACAATATTATCATGCAAAGTGTTAGTGTTTTTTAAATGGCTAAGTTTAAGAAGCAAAGAGCGTCTCGTTTCTATAGCTAATTGTGACAATAAAATATTATTGTTTGAACATTGCCATACGTGAAGAAAGGTATCAACAGAAATAGAACAAATAGGACATATGAGTAAAGTGAAAATGGTAGGATGTCTGAGGTGGAGAATATTCAGAGTGGGGAGTATTTCAAGAAGTATGCGATATCTGTTTTTCTTTAGCATACTGTGTTTGAAAGAAGTAGTTGTGAAGAAGCTATTATCATTCAAGATAAATGTTGTCATAATCCAGTCAATATCAAGATTGACGTATTTATTAAATTGTGGTAGATTGAGAAAAGCTTCAGCCCAGGCAGCTTGCCTTAGTTGTTTAATGAAATATCTGAGTGGTGAAAGAATCATTAAATTGTTGTGTAGAAGATTATATCTTGGACCTAATACATTGTCGTTGAGAGACAAGGGAGCAGCATTCGCTTTAGCGAGTGCATCTACTTGATTATTATTTAAGTCATCACTGTGAGCTAATACTTTTTCGAATGAGATGCTCAGATTATTATTTGTGATCCAATTTGTCAACAAAAACCAAATAGGAAAGTGTTGAATTTTGAGGAGAGGGTT